AACAAAGATCACTGCGCTTGATGAAAGGCTTCTTTAAAGCTTGATTTTGCAAGGATGTTGGCATGTATCTTAGATAAGATAACTTTGAGACTATTCAGCTTGACAGCAAGTTGCTGATATCAGTCAGAGTGTCTTTCTAGTCCAATCCACACTGGACAATTAGCTGCATGATCTGTATAGACACACCAATTATGCTGATAATGCTGGTTCCAATACTAAATGGACCTGCCATGCTGGTGTTATCTTTGTTTCAATATAACTAAGAATATACAGCCTCAAATGAAATAAAATAAAAGGGTATATACCAGCTCAAAGATTTTCTTTCTTTAATCCTTTTCTCCTATTTTTTTCTCTGGAGAGTTGAATAAAAAATAACATGGCGTGGGAGATCGTGGCTTGTATATTGCGTATTGACAATGGAGCCTAAATGTGTCAAACATGCCTGTTTGCAAACAGATGGGAAATGTGATCCTATATAATCTTGGATGATCTATGTTTTATATGACTGTAAGCTATAATCCAGAGTTCAGTAACATGGAAAGAAATGGATGTCTCTAATCCTATATGTGTCGTAATGAGCGGCTCATCTCCAACTCATATGAATATGTGATCCCGGAGAAATCGTCAGTTCAAAACAGTTTTGTGGCCAAAAAACCTAGTGCCAATCCAGCAGACATCGGTCGTGGCAATAAACTTCAGTGTCTCAGCCCCATTGATACTTGAGACCTGTTTGGATTGTCATAGGCTTGTATTTGCTTAGACCAGCATATCCTCCATCACTCTAAAGATGTAAAATATGTGCTCTTCAAGGTCTATTAATGCCTACGTGGCTTCTTACTACAGACAGTTTCTGCTCTGAGGGTATATGCTAGTTCTTCATTTCTTTCCTGTAGTTCCATTGATAATGACTCTTTGGATTTCTAAAGGCAAGATAGGAGTCATTCAATATTTGAAGTCGTGCGGCCATACAAAATATTCGACAATGAAGAGGGATGATCTCCTTTGTAATAGGATAGAGAGTGCGCCTTCGAAATTGCTCCATGCTCAATAAAGGGTTTGCATATTAGAAGGAAGAAAGATAACATCAAGATAACATTTTTGGTGCAGATGAAGACTGCACTCGCTGTAGATAGTATGGAATTTATCGAAAAAACCGAATGTCTCTGGCTGTGCGCTGATTTAGGAGCGCAGGAGAATAGCAGATGCCGAGGCAATAGAGATTTGCATGACTCTTCACCTCGTTGGAGGTATCAATTAATACACTACTCTTACTAGATTGCAATATGATGTTCTTTGACCATCATTTCAAGATCTTTTTTTTTAAGGAAGCTAAGGCATTGCATACACCTTTGCCCTGTCGAATAATAGGCCCTCTGTATGTAGCTGCTTTGGAGATATCAGTTGGTTCTGTTCAGATATCCAATATCAGAATTTAAATATCTGTTCTACCAAGCACACAATAGATATAAGACAACGCACAACAGATATAAGACAACATATGAAGACCCGATGCCTGTTATTTTTTCTGTAAATCCATACACTTCTCTTGCACTGCAACAATAATATTGCCAATTGAACAGGCTCCACTACGTCGCCTTCAATTCCAGTCACTGTATCACTGTTGTAGCCCTTGCAGGAGGTTAAATTTTTCTGAAACATTCTGGAGCGCGGCTTTCAGCTCCTTGATTGTTCTGTTCTTGGCGGCAGATAGTATAACAGTATCATTTAATTTGGAAATCATATGGTATTGCTTATTTTCGAGGAGCACCTGCAGACTGCTCGGCTGACTGTTGGAATCTGGATTAATAAAACTGTCTACTCCGGAGTACGTCACTCAGACTGACTCTGTAGATTTAACAGGGTCTGGTTGACCAAGTAACAGCTTGCATATTGCGCTTCAGTCTTTGTGAAGTTATGCAGTGCGCTGTACTTAGGAATGTATTAATGTAGAGCCAGCCAGAGGCTGCACATATTGGCCTAGAGTTCACTGTAGCCGAGCAAGACGCTTTCTGCAATATACAGCATCGTCAGACTCCTGTGTTTAAAGTACTCTTGTGCAGCAGAGTCCTGCTATCAATCTTATCCTGCGTAGGCCTACCTAGGAGACCTGCGCTTAACATGTGTGGTAGCAATCAGAATTGCGAGTATTAAATTGATCTAGAGGTTTAAGCACTCAGACAGCGAACTACCTATGGAGTATACTACTCTGGACGAGTATCTGATATCTCAGCAATACACACTATCGAGCTCTGCTAGAGATTGACCATTTCCGATTAGCACTTCCGCCACGTGACCGACCGAAGCGGCGCGCATCTGGTAGTACCTACGGTCCGAACAGGCCACGTAGCGAATCTGCTCCGTACCTAAGCGCTCATTTCCATTTAATCTCCAACCTTTTGTTATCGTGGGTTTTCCCTCCAGTGTTTACTCCGTACGGAGTATAGAGCACTTTACATAGTTGCAAGCACTGGGTTCGATCAAGAACCCCTGGCAGCATGAACAATGACTCGCCAAAATCTTATCTATCATCTTTCTTTCCTCGATATGTAGGACTAGGATTCATACCCTGGCAGGCTGCAGCAAATCCATTGGATGCTAACATTCATTCCCAGAATAAAGCTAGGGGTATGATGATATCTCACTAAAGCTAGTAATTAGTAAATTCAAAATACCATGGTTACTCCGGTAATCCCCCTGAATTTTAGGTAGACCGTAGATGCAGGGCGGGCGGCTGGGAAATCAGGCTATGCTGATCTAGGTAGCTGGTAGATCATGTGACTCTGGCAAGCAATACACCTACCTATGTACTCCGGAGGTGCCTTTGTAAAACCTAGTATTTACCTCCCCATTATTTGATCTAGATAAACCCCGCAAACCCCGCAAATTGAATGAAAGATCTATTTATTACCCATATAATACGATCGATCTAATATGGGATAGGCGCAATTGGAGGTCAATTAGCGGGTAGGTTGGTAGTGCGTTGCTTTTCCGAGTCACGTGATCTACCAACTAATTCAGGTACAGCCTGATTTTCCAGCCACCCGCCGTACTAGCATTCTTTCAGCCAGTTTCAGGGGGATTACCGGCGCACGCCGTAAAGAAAATAATACGTTCTCGAGCCTTGCCAACCGGTAGGACCGGACTGATAGGACTCTGAGACGGCTCCTAGGAGTAGCGGTGTACGCCTCGAAACTGACGCCCCCCGGGATCACCCGATAATCGGCGTTGATCATCGAAGCCTAATCAGGCGTGGGAGCCTCAGACATCCATGTGCACAGCACAACCAAAGCAAGGGTAAAAGGTCTCTCACCATCGTATCTATCGCGAGGTGATCGGTGGTATTTATACCTAGATGCGAAGGTCCTGTTCCTGCAGCATGCCAAAACGTCTTACCAATACTGCGTATTACTCTGTAAAGGGTTTTGCACACCCCACTCGGAGCAAGGGGGATCCGTGTATCGTGAATGTAAGACGTGTCCTCTTGAAGTCGAAGAACAATCCAGTCTGCAGACGTAGATCGTCCACGTGACTCTGGACAACCGCCGTTGTGGGCGTTCCTTACAGCAGGTAATAAATAAAACTAGGCCAGATCAGGGAAGCCGAGAGCGTGACGGAGCCTCAGGGGCCAAACGTTCGACCTGCTTGGCTCCGTAGCATTTTACCCAGCTAGGTATAGTGTAATTTTCAAAACCAGAACACCTCACTTTTCGATATGAAGTCATCATGTTATTGTCCAAGTCTCTAGAAGCATCTCCACAACGTCCTGGCTAGTTGCCTCTCCTTCTGTACACATTGATACCAATTGTCGCTCCAGAAGCAGAATATATCATCATACCCATCACAATCAGCTTCCGACCAGTATATTTGACACCCGAGAAGCCCCTGTTGGCCATAATACTGCGAGTCAACATGGTAGCAATCATAGGCTATTATTGCTCCCGCGGATAGCTCGGCACCCACAGCTGCAGAGTTTTCCTTTCCCAAAACTGCATATTCCAAATAAGACCGTTCGGTGAGGTGCGTTCCCGAGGGCAGGATACTGAGAGCCCACCGCGCGTTCCTTCCAGCCGAGCCAGTGGCTGTATCCCTCGGGTACTCTCGCTGCAAACAGGCTCCGAAACAGGTGGAGCAGCCGCCGGATCCGGGCCGATTCTGCTCAATCCGAGAAAAATCCCGAAAATTAGCAGGCCGAATGCCCGCGGTCATTGGCTGATCCGGTGAAACCATGTGGGGCGTCCCACAATACTGGAGCATTCGAAGATCCACCGCAAGGGAAAAAAAAATCTACTATTGAGATACAGCCCCAATACCAGTCTCTGCCCGTATCAATACCTCTGTCACCCTCGCCTGTGCTGTGGGAGATAATATAATAAAAGCCATGAATTGGCTGAATTGGCAGACAGGGTAGAAATCAAGTCTTCCAAGCAAAGAACGTGCTTCTGTTCATGTAGGACTGTGGTTGTGTGAGTTATGCGGATGGGAAGCCTACCGACGTCTCAAGAATCGCATGGAATGCTGCGGCGCGGCCTGGAACTCGTCGCCAGCACCCAATTCCACATTCACAGACCTGCTGGACGAGTGAGCCCCTGGATAACTGCTTGTAGCCCTGAGTAAAGAGCTCTCGAGACAATAAATACTTCTGCTCTCTCGCCTGTTGCTTCCTCGTAGCTTGCTGCTCCCAGCTTCAGAGGATGCAACCTCGGCCCAGTCCCCGATTGATTCCGAAGCCAGCAATAATGAAAAACCTAGCTAGCAGTCTCTGCGCAAATGATTTGCGTGTATTGAACCGGGTGGGGCGTTGCTCAACAATGCACTAGGACGGACTGGGACGGGGAAAGGTGAAAATTTGGCGGGAGAGTATTTATGTCCCGGGGGGCCTCAGCTGTAACTCACCCTCTTCAGCTTTTTCCTTCAGAAAACAACTCTTCTCCAGGCTCCTCCCTTCAATCCATAGCCACCAGGCTCTCCTCTCCGTCCAATTCCCTCCATCCACCAGCACAATGGCCTCCTCTCGTGTGTTCGCCTCCCGACTGGCCACCACCGTGGCCTCGAGCGCCCCCAAGGCTGCTCGGCCAGCCCTTCGCTTCCAGCTGAACCAGCTGAACGCTGCTCCCAAGCGGACCTTCACGCAAGTCAACAACGGCGTCCGTTCTCAGAGCAAAGTCGCTCCCTCTGCCACTCCCTTCCAGACGCTGAAGCGCCAGCAAGCGTCCAACATCCTCAAGGCCAACGTCCGCCAGGCTTTCATCAACCACGAGTCTCGCCGCCACTACTCTTCCGAAATCGCCCAGGCCATGGTTGAGGTCTCCAAGAACATGGGTATGGGTTCCGCCGCCATTGGTCTCGGTGGTGCTGGTATTGGTATCGGTCTCGTCTTCGCTGCCCTGCTGATGGGCGTCTCTCGCAACCCGGCTCTGCGCGGTCAGCTCTTTTCCTACGCCATCCTGGGCTTTGCCTTCGTCGAGGCCATCGGTCTGTTCGACCTCATGGTTGCCATGATGTGCAAGTATGTCTGAACAACGATCAAACAATTTTAATCGGGCGTCGTTGGGGTAAATGTGTCGGGGATTTATATCATCATCATGTACTACTTTCAGCATCGTCAGCATCATCAGCATCATATACAACTTTCATTGTACACTTAGAGTCTCTATAAATGTCCACCTACTCCAACTTTTCCGAGCCATCAACACTCCACAAATCTCTGGGCGTATGCCTTGTACAGTATGCAATTTCCCAGTCTGTCTGGGGTGATATATAACGCTGTACATGCCTGGCGTGACTGGCCATTGTTCCAATCGAGCCTTGAGGAAGCAAACATATATTCCGTACAGGCAGCTTTTTTAAAAAAAAGAATGCAAGATGACATCCAGTACAAAAGTACTCATGCTTTAATAGAGGCCAAGGAGGCGAATGAGTATGAAAGGAAAGTTTGAGGCCATTGAATATAAATTATCACTGAAAGATCTTAATAATAGTAATATCTGGGGCGAATAGCTTGCCCGGAAAGCTAGGTGTATAGATATTGGAGCAGAACGAGCACAGTAGATCCAACGTAGTTCCTTCGGACACGTTCGATGAGACAGGTTGACAGAGCTGTCTGCTCAGGCCGTGAACAAAACCTCTTTCCCGTCTATTACTTCCTCATCAGCACGAAATAATCAGGAAGATAAGACAAAATAAATAAAAAAAAAAGAGCCTTAATATTATGTATAATAAATAATACAGAGCGAAAAAAAAAGACGAACTACCTTCATACTCCGTACAACAACGAATGTGTGTGGCCCTAGGCCTAAAACAGCAGGATTGGCGAAGGGAGAGAGTCCTTGGAACAAGATGTTGTTCCACTGCCGTTGTGGATCTCTGGATCTTAGGATTCGGCGATAACTCCGTAGTGTATAGTCTCCGCGGGGATAGTGCATAACGTCAACTCATTCCTGGTCGACCGTCGAGGAGAGGAGATGCAAGTTGAGCAGCGTGCGTGATCATCATGCTCTATTTCTGCAGGTGAGGGGGTATACCATGCCGGACAACAAAATGGAATGAGTGGTTGAGGGTGTAGGCATCATCAGTTCTTGAAGAATCAGAATCAAGGCTAGGTAGGGATGGGACGGCTATCGTCAATCTTGTCTCTGTCACAGCTGTGGCATGAGTTGCAAGGCTAGTTAGTTTAGTATCTGCTTGTTATTATTACCGAGGGATCTATCTGGCAGGCAGGCAGGCAGGCATATATAAATACAGCTGATATGCTTGCTGTCTCCGGATTCTTGTAAGAAAGAGCTGGAAGGAACTAATTTTAAAAGAAGCTGAATCACATCTTCTCTTTTTGTAGTGCACAAGAGTTCCTCCTCTATATGGGCTTGCGGAGGGCCGAAGGTCCGGAGCATATATAGGCATTAGTAGGCCTAGGTGGTCTTGCTCTTCAAGCCTAGCCGAGCAGAGCGAGTCGTTAAAGGCTTGTTTATTATTACTGCACATCATTTTCGCCCATGATTGTTGCAGTTTGCTTTTATGAAGTTTGCAAGAGAATTGAGGAATTAAAGAAGTTGATGTGTATGTAGCACCATCCATCCATGCGTCCAATTCCCAGACTAAATATCCTTCCTTCTTGTCAAGACAGCAGTCACTGCCTTTCCCTAGACTTCAGCATATATTGTACAGTACATTAGTCGCAGTTACTACCGAACACTGCATCAAAATCACTGCTTATTCTCCAGCCGCTGCTGCAAATATTAATATATTACACTTCCAGAAGTGGATGTCTCTTTATTGCATTGTACAGTAATTTTAAACAGAAAAATCTACACTAACTATTTCATTACTACAAGAAACAGGTTGATTTCAAATTAATCAGTTAATCAGTTGATCGTAATGCCGACAGTAGAATTAATTGTAAAGGTGTTACCATGTTAAAGCTCTTTTTTTTTTCTCTAGCTGTAGATAATTAAATGCCAAAATAGGGAAAAAAAAAACATACAGTAAGACTAAGGAAAGCGCAGCTTGAACTTGACATCACTATTTTTTTTTCCCTGGTTTAAATTGATTGTTAATCATTGCACACAGAAAGAAGAGCAATGCCGTGAAGACATGGTCACCCCATTGTGACATTACCATACTCAATTATATATGGATGCTGCTACAGACTGTTTGCTTGAATTCTGTTACTATATTTCTGTGGCTATGTACAGTACAGCTACCTACCAGTCCATTTTATACTGGAGACAATAATATAATACAGTGTCGGCTTCATGAATGGTATAGCTTAAGTCTGATTTTATTTTTTTTCGAATGTACTCCTCATAAACTGTTTTCTTCCCTCAATTATTAGTACCACCCTGAACTCATTGCTGCTTCAGCACAAATAATGGGTAAGTGTAGGTAAACACAGGTGAGCAAGGTGATGCCTTAGAAATATGAGGGTAAGCAGGGTAAGTTAGGAAGTCAGTAAGGTGATTTAGGGGCAGGGCTGCAGGCGCTATGACCAAGAACCTAGGTCCTTAAATAGGATAAAAAGGCATATAATTGCTTAACCATTCCTTTTTTTAAATCCTTTTCTCCTACATTATAGAGGGTACAATCTTAATCAACTTTTATACTGAAATCATAGTTTAGTTATATAGCTATATCTAACAAAGAAGAGCAAAGACAGCAGAAAGTTGAGTTGTATAGCTTTACTACAGCCTATCAACAAGAACAAGAGAACTATTAGAATATAGTGTCTTGGCCAAAATGGGCCCTAACAACTAATATCTCCTATGCTAGGGCTGTTAAAAATTAGTGCTTATAAGTAATGATATCACATGATTTAGAGTGATTGCCCTGCTGATAGTATTAAAGATAGAAAATTTCAAGAGAGGAGCCTGAGGAGAAGAAATTCACAAAGGAGGAGCTAGACCTATCTGCCCTAACACTCAAGATATTTATAAAGGACTACATAGTAACTTATAAGGAGTACCCTTCTTAGGGATCAGTACTGTATACCCTTTCATGTTTTATTACTAAATAGGGGGTAAAGACCTATAGAAAGTTACTAGAAGACCTAAAGAAAGATATATACTGCGTGACTTGTCACCAAGAATCTAATCTCACTGACTCTTGCAGTGCAATATTCTACAATATGTATAGATTTCCCCATATATACTTTCAGTATGTTGTTTCCTAGATAAACAGTAGTAATAGACACAAGGTGTGAACAACCCAATCTCATTGCTATCAGAAGGCTACGAGGTAGTATCTCACGAGAAGACCAAGCTGAAGAAAGGTGGTGTGAGACCCTGCCAAGTAAAGATAACAAACATTCTGCCCGTCCAACTACCCCGCCTTCTACACTGCCGACAGGACTGACCTCCAAACACATAATCTAAACCCTAAGCTGTTACATCACCCCCTAATTAAGAATGGCGCCTGCCTTTAGGCAATGTTGATGTTGGTTCCTGCAGCACTTTCAGCAGTTAATCATTATCCACATAGTCTTTAAGGAATACATTATCCCCTGCAGCCTTAAGCCAGTTATTAAGCTGCGAGTAGGGGGGGGGGGGGTGGGTGCATACAGGTATTTCTCATGGAAGTCATGGATATAGTATAGAGTGTTCTTAAAAAAAGCGTGAATCATTATCGTGGCTAACCAGGTAGGTGGCCAGGGACCGAAGGGTAATCAGTTGGTAATCTTATATAATATTTTCCCTGTGAGCCGCCTGAGCGAAGAGAGGGGTTCAAGGCTCGTACAATTTAACTAAACGAATTAAGATGCCAAGCTAACTATATAATGGTTACATTGGTTAGGTATTTTAAGGTTATACTCCGTACTTTGCAATGTTGCTTTGACCGCCTCACCTCACCTTCTAAGTTAGGACTTCATTTTCAGTCTTGCTTGAAGACAATATGCCATCAATTAATGGATCTGACAGGCATAGTGATCTGCCAGGCTGGTGAAGCCTTACCGTGCGGCCATACTTCGCCAGGATTAATATGGCTGCCCTGAAAAAGGAAACGCGGCGGTTAGAGTCGATTATAATATCAATTTGAAGTTCTCATCAAACTAAATATTTTCATACTATTTCCCCTCTTATTCACTGCATATTCTGATGCAAGTACTGTGTTTGGAACTTCTATTCTGACCACTGTTGGCCGAGGTACTACTATAGTTGCAGGGGATTCGTACGAATCACGATCGAGAGAATACGAGCTGCGGGATCATAAATAAACTAATAACAGGAAATACGAGCCCCAATCTATTTACCATCAGGATAACCTTGCAATTCTTATTGTTCAATCAGAACTTTCCCCGTAAAGTTAGTTGAATTATCGCTGGTTTTGGATTTTGAAACTCTTTTAAGTCAAGGACAGCCTCTATCCGGGATGAGGAATTTATTTTTTTTTCCGTCATGCCGCAAGTGTTTTTAGTTGAACAAACTGTCGCTCAAAGTCGATTGAATGTCATTGTTACTGCTGTGATCCAAGGTGCTATCAATATTAGCGGAACGTGGAGTCCTAATGACTGATCGGACTTCTTTCTTCTTAACCTCTATTCACCTGATTGCCATCGCCTGTCTTTCCTGCATTGTCCCCGGCACATTAGGCGACGGCGAAACAACAATCCAAGAGAAAGGTCTCCGATATATCCAATACAACGGCTCTGTCAGCGGCACATTCGCTCCCAATGACACCGGCTGCACTACTTGGACCATCGGACCTCAGTCAACATTCGATCTCCTCGTTGGCGTGGCAGGCCCATGGGATACGAATCCTTTCTGGTTCGGGTTTGCTGGGCCAGAAAATTTTTTTGTCGACAACGTCGATGACGGTGTCGCCTCCATCAGCTTCGAGAGCGCAGATCTTCTCTGCTATGAGGACAGTGGAAGGCTATGCACATCATTTGAGTTCGACATTGGTGGGGCCGACTGGTATTTCGTCGGCAAGGAGCTGTTGAACTTGAATCGGACGACGATTCAGAAGATTGCCATCGATGGTGTGGATGGCTATCAGGTCATTGGCAATGAAACGTCGTATGCCGGCGATGACACGGTGCAAAACTTGGTTATTGTTGGTGGTAATGCTTCTAACTGCACCACGGAAAGTGGTAATGAGCAATATACTCTCGGTTGGTCTGTTTTCCCCTTCAATGGCCTTCTCCTGGGACCGATCAAGCTCATTTCGCTGATCGAAAGAAAAAAAAATCTAACCATCATTTTCTGTCCCTCTGTTTAGGACCGAGACTACACCGTTCACCTACCAGTTAGCCTTCACCAACAACACCGCGTCGCTCGACTTGACATTGAGCACGATCTGGGGCTTCCTGGTGCTGAATTACACAGGAAAGCGTACCGACAGTGGTGCTCCTAGCAACGAAACCGTCGTCCTCAATACGACTAATCCTACAAAACCCGTATTTACGTACGTGAACGGGAGCACATTCGAGTGGTATAACATTACCGGCCATGGGTATGGTGTCACCGCAGGTTCTATGGCAGCGTTATCACCACGCTGGAGCAACGAGAAGTGGACATGGTGCGTTTTTGTCGTTACAATGGTCTTTGTGACACGGGCGTAAACTGGCGGCTTTTATCAAAAGGCATCGTCGGCGAAGGACAATGATTTCTTTTTTGATGATCTCGCTCTACTGGATTTTTCAGCTGCAGACTCGCTGGTCGCATTGGTGGCAGTTTCTTGGAGAAAAGCATAGTTCTGTTAGCCATTAAGCAACATGCAGAGATCTGTATGACTTGGATGAACCTGAGTACCAAGAATGCTTTTCTGTGATGGTTCGGAAATGGTTTTGGGAGGAGGAGAATGGTACGTTAGTTCTGTTTAATTCTGCTTACCTGTGGCTTAAATCCGTTTACCCTTTAGGCCTTATTTTATAAGTAGACCCTAAGCAGAGGTAAATACTATTAGAGTATAGGGTACCTATTGCATGTGCTAAAACAATGACTAAGAAATTTGATAGGGCTGAGTTTGGGACATTGGTTGCTTAAAATGGCAATAAAAATAAAAGTTGCCAAATACGGCAACCTTTGTCCCATTAACTAGCATTCCGGTGTAGTAAAAGTAACTATCTTTATCTTACTGCCTCTTTTTTAATTTAAGCTTTTTTATTATATAATTTACTAGCTAATCTACTACTTCTAATATGAGCTTCTTTTAATTCTTTCTTTCTTTTTATACCTTTTAGCCTTAACTGGTTATTATTTGCCTCCATTTTTAACCCTTTTTGTACCTTCAAGTTGGCGCATTTGGCGAGGTCAAATTTCGTCGTCGACGATGGTATTGGCCAGCAATCCTAACGGTAATACAGTGTCGACTTCATAAATGCCATCAGTGTCTTTTTTCTCTGAATGTCTTCCTCATAAACTGTTTTCTTGCATGTGACTAGCACGTACGACCATAGGGTGTGGAAAACAGGGCTTCCCGTCCGCTCAGCCGTACTTAAGCCACACGCCGGCTGGTTAGTAGTTGGGTGGGTGACCACCAGCGAATCCCAGCTGTTGTACGTTTTTTATTCATAATTTTTTTTTGGCTATGGTACCTGCGGTAAATCTCATGCCGCCTTTATCCACCCTTTCTGGCGACCGTTCAGCTGAATGCTCGGGAACCCCTTTCATATTCACCCAGTAGAGGCCTCACCTATGCGGTCCTCAATTCATTCCGACAAGGAACAGGAGTCCCATCCTCTGGATGTCATGCAAGAGAGCGAACCGATCCTGATTCAGGGCTATCTCACTCTGCAAACCCGTGGGTCGGATGTCTTCTACTGTGTGACGTTTTCGCAGTCGCTTCTTGCCGCTGCTCCTCCGAAGCAGAAGAGGAAGCGGACAGTGCCTCAAAGCGCTGGAAGGGCTGTGAAGGAGTCGTCCAAAGGCATGCGGTTCACTCCAGAGAGGATAGCCTGCTGGTTGAGCTCAAGAAAATGGGGGATCTCACCTGGCTAGAGATCGAGGATTAGTTTTCAAAGTGTTTTCCATATTAGAGCAAGGAGTCCTTGCAGGTCTGCTACAGCACAAAGCTGAAGCAGTCCTCCTAGCTGTCACTAAGGCGACAATATGCTCAGGTAGCTTATAGTAAGCATACTAGAAGAGGTATAACTGTAAGTGGAAGCTATAGTATGTGAGTTCCCTAGGAACCACCATCCCATAGACAATGAACTTTTTTGATCCTAGTATAGTGTAAATGCTCATGTGCTGTCATAGTTAGTGCTGATGTAATACTCTGTAATCCAGGACTGTTACTAAGCATTGCAGTCTTATTGGCATCTGGTGTATGTAATTATAAAAGAATGTATCATCATCCATATGGGATCTACGCGTTCATCAGAAGGAGAGTCGATCGACCAGAGGCCTACACGACCGAAGCGCTCAGTCAGGAGTCTCAGACCTTACTGAATGAAGATTCCAACACAAGTACTAACTTTCACGATTCGGAGACCTCGTCGGGTGAGCTCGCGTTGGATTACAGACTCCCAGTCAAGCGTTCAAGTAAGCGTTCGAAACGCTCTCGCCAGTCCCAACGAAAACGATGCAACGCCCGCAAATCTAATGAGAACGGCTACGACCCTTGATTTACGGCCATGTCCATTTCGCAAACGCGCTCAAAAAGCGATGCGAGAGCTCTGTGATGAGGAGAGTGGTCATGGACGGATCGCGGGATAGAGAGTGCCCGGTTCATTTGCTGCCGGATCCTCAAGGCATGACTCGAAAGGAGAGGCATCCAAAGTAACTACATTGGGTTTGGGAATCAGAAAGCGCTGCCCACAGCATCCTAGATGATCAAAAGAGGCATGATATCCTCGTGTGGATATCGAGAATTCCTTTCGAGGATCACCGCAGGGTCGCAAGGGAAGGACGTACAGAGGATACCGGCGGATGGATTTTCCAACATGATCAATACCGAAAATGGCAATCATCGGAAACCTCAATGATACTATGGCTACATGGGATCCGTAAGTCCTTCACTGAAAGTGATCGACATTGTCAATCTGACTTTCTCAAACAGCAGGCGCTGGGAAAACCAAGCTAATTTCTCGAGTTGTTGATGATCTCCTCAACAATTCCGGTGAACAAGCATTGGCATACTTCTACTGCAATCGTAACGAGGAGTCTCGTCGACAGTCTATGGAGGTTCTCCGCAGTTTTGTTAAGCAGCTTTCTATTTCAGATGATCCGAAGGCAATTCACGGTGACCTTCTCAAAATCTATAATGAGAGGTGGCAGAAGGGCTTTTCATCGAATGATTTGAGCTTGGAAGAATGTGAGACACTTCTACTGGGATTAATTTCCACCTATTCGAAAACAACATTGGTTTTAGATGCTTTGGATGAGAGTGATGAACACTCTCGAAAGAGCCTCCTTGATTGCTTCAATCGCCTCATCGAGAAGCAGTCAAAAAACCTGAAGATCTTGATTTCCAGCAGACGAGACGGAGACATCAGGCTCCAGCTCGAAAGGAAGGCGAATGTTGGTATTGAGGCGACTAACAATCAGGATGACATAGCAAAGTTTGTTGCTGAAAAGATCAGTCAAAGTGAGAAGGATCGGCGCTATCCCATCTCCGAGAGTTTGAAATCAGAAATCATTCAGGTCCTTCTGAGCAAGAGTCGTGGGATGTAAGTATTTACTACCATAACGATTTTATGGCTTTTGCTCATTTTTCCTGAAATTAAGGTTTCAATGGGCCGCTTTGCAGATCGCTGAAGTACTATCCTTGGAACGCGAGCGTGATATTCGTGACCGGCTGGGACGGCTACCCGACGATTTGAAAGCAGCTTACGACGAGATATAACAAGATCCAAAAAGCAAAAGGAAGCAAGCCAAAAGTCGCAATTCGAGCTTTTCAATGGGTCATGTGCTCTGAAGAACCCCTAAGCGCAGATATCCTTGTCGCTGCCGTGTCCCAGGATCCTGAGGATGAGACGACTATAATGCCAGATATGGACATTCATTTTGTCATTGATGCCTGCTATAACCTCTTGGCTCTGGACCCTCATACGAAGATTTGTCGTTTTTCACATTTGTCAGTTCGGGAGTATTTCGCAGAACATCATTGGGCCGCTGAAAAATGCCATGGCACCATTGCAAAGGTCTGCTTGTCATTGTTAAACAACGATGGCGATGGGAAGGAAACCAACAACAAAAATGAGTCGGATCCGTATTCTCGTTCTAATCCAGGTGAAAACTCTACATCTTGCGGTCCAATTAAGAACCTCATACAATACGCAGCGAAATATTGGCCTGATCATATAAGGAGTCACGGTGACAAGGCCGCTGATAGTCAGCTGTCTGGGCTTTTGGAGAAGTTCTTCGGCTCTATAGACAACAGTGGTCCTGCATATATACACTGGCATAATTCATATGCGCGCATTCGATTTGATGGTTTGCAACTGAGATCTTGCTCCAATCCTCTGTTAGCAATATGCCGATTTGGCTTTTACCAAATTCTTCCAAAGTGGTGGCAATCTGGAAGAATAAACCCAGAAGAGGTCAACGAAGAGGGTCATTCATTATTAGTGCTTGCCATTATGAGTGGGAATGTCGAACTTATACAAACATTGCTCACTCTTGGAGCAGATGTGAATCGACAACTTGCTGGCTCAAGCTTTGGCAGTGCCCTAGCAGCAGCATCATGATTAGGAAATAATGAGAATATCCAGGTCCTGCTAGCTGCTG